CCTTTTGCATCCAATTAAGTTTCAAATCATTTCGTTCCAAGATTCACCATCTTCAAACCTATAAAAACATATAGAGATGCAAATGCCCCTAAAATACCTAAATGATATGAAAATGCGGGATGAAAATGTGATTAAACCGTATCTAAATAAGGTAAAATATGAGAATATCATACTTAGGTAGCACTAAAAACATAGGAATAATTTCAAAGAATTTAGAGCAAAACATATATTTTTACTAAAACTATACCTTATACATATAGTTCATGTATGAGTTACTAGCCACTTTGTTATGTGAAACATCCGATTATGGTGTTGTCGGATATTTTAGTATACGAAATGATAGAAAATATATTTAAAGTGATCAATTGGATCAATACTACTAGAAAAGTTATAATCTTATGTACATACTACTGGTTATACGTGAAAACAGTCAAAATATAACACGTGTTAACCAGTACTACTGGAAAACTAAGTATGACTATTAGTAAAGTAAATATAATTTTTAATTCGTTTTGACGGCGCATGTGTTACACGTTTATTTAATGATAAATTATTGATGAAAAATCTGATACACGTTTTTTACTTTATTTTTTTTCTTATCTTAGTGGGTTGCATAACACACAGTAGTACTCAGTAATACTAGTAGTACCAAATTTAATACATGATAAAATATGAGTTTTACATTTCCCTCCAACACATAAGTACCTAAAATAATAGTTCATCCGGATATCACTAGACTTTTAATGCCTAAGTCATTCCCTAAAAACACAAAATAACATCCCAGTTACACAAAATAAACATAAAACATTCCAACTCTCCCTTCTTTATCCATTCTTTGTCTTCTTGTTGTTTTTCTTGCCCACTACGGTCTTTCTCTTTTTCGTCTTGACCGCTTTCTTAGCTTCATCCTCTTTCGTTTTCGTAGTTGCTTTCCTCATGCTCCTTTTCCCATCCGTTGTATATGGATGTCTCTTCAACACAGATGGCTTCTTGTCCCTATCAGCCTTTGGAGTG